ACCAAAAGGATATACGCGTTAATAACTACAAATAAAACCAATCGAGTTTATATTTCCCTGAGTAAATAAAACCAACACGTCATCGGCTTCTCACATCAATTGCAACAAATACGAAATGACTGTTGTACATATATATATATATTTAAAATAATATACGAAACTTGTCTCTTGCAATCATTAGAGACCAATAAAACGTTAACTAGGTGTCCCATATCACAGTCTAAAGAAATCAGTCACGTGATCACTGTTCGGCTGTTGGTTACCATGGTCTCCAAACGTCACTCGTGACTACTGTTGATGACGACGCTCTTCTGATAACACTGAAACGGTTTGGAGTATTTCTATCAGTATTTCTAGGTGTCCCATATCACAGTATAAAGAAGTCAGTCACGTGATCACTGTTCGGCTGTTGGTTACCATGGTCTCCAAACGTCACTCGTGACTACTGTTGATGACGACGCTCTTCTGATAACGCTGAAACGGTTTGGAGTATTTCTATCAGTAAAAAACGAACTTTGAGAGAACTCCGGATTGGACAAAAAGCCTGAATCACTATTACAAGTAACATCCAGTTTTGTTACCGGAGAAGCAAGTTTCTGTTTTTCTTCACGAGGTCTGGGTGCGAGGTTAACAGGAGTGCTCGAACAACATGGTTGGTCAAGAGGTAGCGTCTTGTCGTCAAGAGTAAACGTAGAAGGTCCTCTGCTTCTCGAAAGGACGGGTGGGGATTTTTCTAAACGTGGTGTGACAACGTTCTTGGAAGCCTCAGAGGTGGTGGAGGCAGAAGAAGGAGAATCGATACCTAAATAAGATACCGAATCTTCTTTGTGTGTTGAACTTGCCGATAAATCTGGAACGGTGCTGCTGACGTTTGATGACGTCATTCCCTCATCACCACTGAAAGAGGACAGGCATCTAGTCATGTGATCGGTTATTCTGGACTTGAGGTCAGAACTCACTCCTTCCAAGCTGGATACGAAACCGGTTATGTCTTTCACACACTCTGCATACCCAGACTGAAACTTGTTTTTCGTTGAGTGTTCTAGTCCTTCACAAGATTCTGAAAAATAGAAGCAGTTTTACAAAGTGTAGTGAAAGTTACAAGCAGAAGAAAAGTCTTAATAAATTTTTTTTCTGCTAATTTAATAAAAATGAACGCGATGGCGTCTTAGTTCGTACAAAGTAAAATTGGTATGAAACATATTTCAAATTTAATTAATTGTGTAACATGTTTTTGGCCAACTTTTACCGAAAAC